GTTGAGTTTTTGTTAGAAATATTGACTCAGATTTTTTGTTTTACATCGCAAAAATGCTTTATTGTAAGAGACGTCCCTTTGATCTGATGTCTAAATGAATCAAAAGAAATTTTTGCTTTAACACAACGTTCATTGAACTTAAAAAAAGTTAAATTATTCAGCTAACAATTAGTTAATTAAGTCGGACTTGGAAGTTAAATTAGATAACGTTTTAAGATATATTGCACTTAATGGGAGTTTTGTATTTGATTTACGTCTAAAGTTGGAAAGTGGAAGTGAAGACAGGGATTTATTACTTTAAATTTTTTTTTGAAAAAATTTTCAACCTGATATGTAAGTATGTTCTTATCTGAGCATTTTAAACTGGGTCATGATAAATTTTATGGCACGCCTATAATTCAAAATATTGTCTTTTTAGCTTAAAAAAAAATAATTTCTTGTTTAAAACTCGAAAAAATAAATCAAACTTATCCTTTCACCATTTCCTACTTACAACAAAATTAATTAATTTCGTGCGCGTAATTTGCGGCTATAATTCACGGTCGTATCGAGCACAGATGTGTTAAATTGTAGCATCGCACTGCAGTTATAACACTTGGAGGCTATCGACCTTTAACCCGTAAAGCTGAGCTTCAACTGAGTTTGGTGAAGCTTTCGCGCGCGCTTTCATATGTTAGGCAATGTTTGAAAGTGTAAGGTCGAGAGCGCATGCGCATGTAGGTGGGGAGAGCAGCAGGTGGTAATGCGGTTTGTAGGACAAACTGAATAAATTATCTAAAAAGTTGGATTTTCTGCACAGTTTTAATAAAATACTCCCAGTATCAAAGTATGAAAAATACTTTATTACGTAATATCTTATACCTGTCAATAGTACATACTTGTATTACCACTTACCGCTTATTACTAGACCAAAATGCTATATCTCTAGAAATTAAAAAAAAACTTTTTTTTAAAATAGTTTCTTTTTTAAATTACTGGTAGGAGTATTGTAAATCAAGAACACGACGTGGCCTCTGTCTCTTTTTGACATTTGACAGCTTCTGACATTTTGGTACTAAAGTACAAAATTAAAGCTTTTCCCTGACATTAGGATTTTTATAGGGGCTGAATTACGATTGTTATGATGATATTAATGGTATCAATATTAGCCTCAAAACAGATTTCCTCATTAAAAATAAAATTACAAATGACCTATGTGACGGTAACACACACTTTTGACGTACGTCAAAACAAAGCAACAAGGCTGTTTACAAATGTTGCAAAGAGATAGCGATTTGGTACTTCTTTCGAATTATTAATTAATCCAAACGCATAAAGTAAAAAAACGAACTTTAAAAAATATTTTTTTTTAAACCATAAAATTCACAATATTTAGGATGTCCCACGTAAGACTAATATCTCTGTTATTTGCCAATGGATTTTTACGAAATTTAAAATGTAGATAACTTAGAAAGTGGGAATTTAATTAGTATTAATAAATTTACTTCAAGATAAAAAAATAACTTTAACACATATTTTCTCAAAACCTGTGGTAAATTAATTTAACACTTTTAGAACAATTGATTTCAATGGTGGTACTTTTAAGCACCTTTTGTTGTATTTAATTGGTTAGTTCAATAAAGGCAGTTCCTAAATTACGTTATTATCTTTTTGAAGTCTTAGGAGGGACACCCTATATATAAAAATAATTTTACTTGTTTCATAAAGATACATTTCTCATGACACCAAGTAGGTATACCTATAATACATAATATAAAATAAAATATTTAGGTTTTGAATCGAATTTTTTTGCCATGTTAAGAAAGTGATTAAATTTGCTACTCTATTATAAAATATTACAAAAATAGTTTTTTTATTATACAGGACTATAAAGAAATTATTCATCTACGAGTGAAAAGGTTAAGTTTACGAGTGACAAAGTCACGAGTGGACTTTTTTTACGAGTAGCTAAACAATCTTTATCGTCGTGTAAAATATTTCGTTTTACCTACCAGAATTTCTTCAACATAAACAGTAGATAAAAATTACTTTATTTCACTAGACGATAAAAGATAAAGCACTCTTTAACATTGCGTACAAAATAAAATAACACAGTACACAATTATGTGATAATTTTGACTAAATATTTTTCTAAGAGGTCGTTAACTCTGGAATTAGTTGCTTTGGAATTTCATTGAAATTGCTTGAAATTGTATTTGTAATTATTAAAATCATCTTAAAAATATTTAGAATTATTTATGAATTACTAGAATTTTTTGGAATTACTGTAATTCTTTTGAATTTTTTTATTCAGGTTATATTATAAAAAAACCCTAACCCTTAATTTCATTACTTTTTAAAGACGTTATAATACTTTTTTCCCAAAGTTGAACAGTTTTTTGTTATCAATCGTTTGCTTGTCTTAGATAAAGTGAATAAAAATGTTCTATTCTTTCCAAAGCCAACTTTATTTAGTTTACTTTTCAAATTGCCTAAAATCAAAAGTTAGTGATAGGTAGTAAGTGAATTTGTTGAAAGACAATTTAATGAGGAATCCAAAAATAATAAAACATACAGGGTGTTACATTTAAAAAACTGAAATTAATGTTACTTCCGGTGAAACAGGAAGCAGCATTGATTGAGCATCTATGCCAAACAATAAATGACTTTAAACTGTTCAACTTTGTTCCAAGAAGTATTGTCATATCTTTAAAATTAATAATACAGCCTGTATATTTTTTTAATTACGTTAAATTTCTTATAACTATCACTATTAATTTGGAATTGCATGAATTATTTTGGAATTATAGGAATTAATCTAAAAACAATGATATTTCGATGAATTATTATTGAAATTACTGGAACTTCAAGGGTTGTTCTTTATAATTAAAATTATTTCTGGACCGTAGTATTAAAAAGTCCAAGTTCCATTTTTGTTGTTCTGAGATATTAATTGCAAAATATAATCTAACTATAATTTTAAATGTGTGAATAATTTAGTTATAATGTGTGAATAACTTCAATAGAAAATTGGCCTTTTTTATATCGATAGAAATGAACTCAGGAATTTTAGTGTTGGAGCATTTAAAATCGATGAAAGAGGAGATTGACCTTTTTAATATACTCAGGTCCAAATTTGTGAATTGCTGTAATTATTTGTTAATTACTAGATTTTTTTCTGGAATTACTGGACTTTTTTGGAATTATTTGAAATTATACTATCGAAAAGAAGAAATATATTTGGGATTATAGAAATTAACCCGAAAACAATAGAAATACGTGGAATTACTGAAATTTTTTTTTTTTTTGGAATTTGAATAATTTTGTTTTGAGTTACTAAAATTTTTGTAATTTTTTTTATTAGTTGTGTTATGTTTTGGTATATGAAACAAATTATTTAAAAATTGTTAACATTACTTTTTTAAAAAGAATGTCTGTTTCCATTTGCAACATAATTAGAACCATTTTCTTATTATGCTGCATTTAAACATATTAAAATACTAATACTAATCCTTTAGCTACAATTTAGCTGCAATTATTAAATTAATGTTAGAATATCATTTATTTTTCAATTTTCGGTTTCAAATTGTGCGTTTCGAAACGGAATAATCGTAATCTTCAAAGTCTCAAGTAGGTAATTCTCCAATTCACTGATCTGTAGACCGTTTGGAAAGGAAAGGAAACAACTAACATATACAGGGCTTTCATTTCAAAAAGAGCCAGTCTCAATAACTCTTGACATTGAGTAAATGTATTTTTAACCAAAAACAGGTCGATTAGGATCGTGAGGGGGAAGTTGAAAACCAACATTAGTTACATTTTAGGTTTCATTCCCTAGTCGCTAGCCACCCTTACTTTAAAATTTTAAACGGCACCCCATCCTTTTTAAAACGATTTCGGAAAGGGAAAAAATCAGCGTACCTAAATGTCAAAGAAAAAAAAATTGTCTATTTGTTTTTCAGTTAGGGGTGGTTTAATTCTTGACATTTTTAGTCCAAGTAGCCTTTGATTCAACTCAATTTAAGTTAAATAAAAAATTTGTCAGTTTGGGTTGCAATGGGAGAGTTCAAAACTCCTAGTCACTAACGATCCTTACTTTAAAATTTTAAAAAGCACGCCCCCACTTAAAAAATATAACTCAAAAACGAAAAGACAAAATATTTTTTTCATTTACGGATAAGCTTTTTCCCCTCTTTCCAAAAATGTTTCAAAATGTTGGGGGTGCTAATTAAAATTTTAAAGTAAGGGTAGGTGGTGACTATGGGATGAAACCTAAAACGTATTTTGTGTTGGTTTTGAACTATTCCATCGCAACCAAAAACGACATATTTTTAATCTAAATTAAATTGAGTTGAATCAAAGGCTACTAGAACTAAAAATTTCAAAAATTAAACCACCCTTAACTAAAAAACGAATGGACAATTTTTTTTTCTTTGACAGTTAGACACGCTCACTTTTTCCCTTACCGAAAATGTTTTAAAAAGTAGGGGGTGCCATTTAAAATTTTAAAGTAGGAGTGGCTAGCGACTAGGGGATGAAACTTAAAATGTAACTAATGTTGGTTTTGAACATCCCCCTCGCAATCCTAATCGACCTGTTTTTGCTTGAAAATATATTTACTCAATGTCAAAAGTTATTGAGACTGGCTCAAAGCGCTGTATAATGTTTAACATTTTTTCTTTTGTTTTAAAGTTTGTAAATAAAATTTTATAATTAAACAAAACTTTTCTAATTTTATATACCATTGTTTCAATTTTCGTTTGAAGATAATTTAAGTCCTTTATATGCGAAACCCTATATTCTGTTATTGTCGGGGTTCAAAATCTGTTAAAATTAGTTTTAGGACCAAAGTCATTAAATAGGCTTCAGTTCATTTAATAAAACTCAATAATAAAATGATTAGAATTGTTATTAAACAACAACGATAAGTTGTTATTGACAAACGAATAAAAAAATCGATTTTTTAACAATATAAGGAAAAGTACGTTTTGCAATCTTGGGTCACAATTTTTGCAAACACCAAGCAATTCTTCCATTGAAAAACAACCTAAAGTCACTGTATATAAAACCGGCAATCTTTCCCAAACCTCATTCGAAAACTAACATCGAACGCAAAATCCCAAAAATGAAAATTATTTTATGTCTTCTTGCCCTCGCCAGTGTCGCACTTGGCAAAAAGGTAAGTTACTATTTCTAATTAACAATTTTCTAATTGCGATTTAGTGCTTTTTGGCTGACGACACTGATAAACTTGAAGAATTCATCACAGAATGTAAGACTAAAACTGGAGTCGCTGAAGATATCCTCCAAAAGGCTCGAAACGGGGAGAAAAGCGACGATCCCAAATTGAAGGAACACGCTTTGTGCATGATGAAGAAATCCGAGATGATGGACGATGCTGGAGAATTGCAAATGGAGAAGATTAGGGCTAGGATCAAGCATGCCGTGAGCAATAAAGAGGAAGGAACCAGAATTATGACCGAATGTGCTGTGAAGAAAGACACGCCTAAGGTGACGGCCTACGAGATGATTTGTTGTCTATACCGCAATAAAAATGCGATTGACAATTGAAGAAAAGGGGAAAAGTTTAATTTCTTTCAACTGTTTATTTTATGTTGAATAAAAATTAGATACTTGCTAAGATTTTTGAGTTTTATTTTCATTATGGAAAGATATGAGTGCAACAATGTTAAAAAGCCCAAATTCACTCACTACTTATTGATCTTTCGAAGTTTACACTTTACTACAATGTGACGTCACTAGTGACGTCATGAAAGCGTTACGACTGCAAGCTTTTCGTTGAAGAGCGCCACCTGCTCTGAAACAGCTTTACCGTTTACAGGACTCTGCGTTACCAACTTGCTCATGATTTGCATTTATTATGCCGTGTCATTTTACAACAAAATCATCACAATGATTTGCAAATATTGTCACTTTACATCATGAAAAATGTTTTTTACTCTCAGCTTTTCTTGAATAAAATACAAAATACACAGGATTACAAAAACGCCCCAAGTCATAATTTTGTTACTTTTAAACACGTTACAATACTTTTTTTGATCAAAATTGAACAGTTTTTTGTTATCAGTCGTTTGCTTGTTTTAAATACAATGAATAAAAATATTCTTTTTCACAGCTAGCCTACATAATTTAAGTTAATTTAATACTTATTCAAATATTCTAAAAACAAAAGTTTGTGATAAATAATAGGTAGTAAATGAGATTGTTTAACGAGAAATCCAAAAATAATAAAATACACAAAATGTTTCATTTAAAAAACTGAAATTACTTCCGGTGAAAGAGGAAGAAGCATCTATCCTAAATAACAGATGAGAAGAACTGTTTAACTTTGTTCTAAAAAATATTGTCATATCTTTAAAAATAAAGGAGTTATGGCTTGAGATGTTTTTCATAATCCGACCTGTATATCCAGATGCAATAAAACAATCCGGCAGTTCACATTGATTTTTTGATTCATTATAATAGTATGATATTTTGACGGTTACAAGCAAAAAATTAGTTTGTTGCTACTTCATGATAAACAAATAAAAATGATAAATTAATGTTAAATAATAAGTTTATCAAATTATTATTCTGGAAAACATTACACTTAGAATTTCTGACATCCTTGACCTGCTTGCATAATTATATTCTAGAACAAAAACTATTTTTTAATTATATAATATAATAAATTGGTGTTTTTGGAATTGTTATTGAAAATATATTTTTTCGAATTTTTTATTCAAGATTGAACAAAAAAATCGTTGTCGAAAAATCGTGTTTTCAATAACCAGTCCAAAAACACACCAAATACTTTTTCGATACTATACTGAAACAAAATGGACGATAACACTATTTTTTAATATATCTTTTTGTTAATTAAATTGCACAACAGGAAAAATGAAACAAATATCTTAGGACAGGTAGGTAGTGTAGAAAATAGCTCGTATACCTGCTATTTAAAATTAATGTTTTTAATAAAAATTGTTTCTTCAAATTTTTAACTTTAACAGAATCAAAAAATATAAAAGCTATAAATTCTGCTTTGATTAATGTCTCCAAGATTATCAAAGATTCAAACATAACAAAAATTTACTGGCTTCAAAAATTTTTAGATTGACCGTTGGTCTTTTTGTAAGTAATGAATCAAATGTGATTTTTTTAAATTAAATGTTTTTGTTTTTTCTTTTTGCCATTACTTTTTGGTTTCATTTTAATTTGTTTTTTTTTCTAATTCAAAATTTATTTTTTATTAAACTATCATAGCACTACAATTATTTCACTTAGAAGAAGCTTTTGATTGATGCATTTTTACCAATATGAAGCTGATTTGAATTCAAGGTTTACAAACAAAAATTGTGGAAAATTAGTGAATATTGTAACAACAAATTTATTAGTTTTTTTGAAAACTCAAAACATTGTTGTTTTATATCGATAAGAATACCGAGAAACGGCCTTCTTCAAAATAATCACACAACCGCATGGAAACATATTCGACCTCTGAACTCGAACTCGAACCGATTTCGTCTAAAAACAAAGATAAATCAAATAATATAAAAGTGCAAATTTTTCGCTACACTCTTATAGTTTTCCTTTCTTCGACAACAAAAATGAAGGTCTTTGTGTGTCTCGCCGTCTTTGCTTTTGTGGCAGCTGCTCAAGTAAGTGTATAAATAATAAAATTTCTTAAAAAAATAATAAAAACATTTCAGGCTGAAACCCCAAGAGAAAAATTGAGAAAATACAGCGACGAATGCAAGTCGGTTTCCGGCGTTTCCGAGGAACTTTTGACCAGAGTAAGGAACCATGAAGACGTTCATGATCCCAAACTGGACGAACACGGATTCTGCATTTTGAAGAAAGCCGGATTCATGAACGAAGCTGGTGATATTATGACCGACACAATCAAAACTAAGTTGAAGCAAAATAGCGAACATCCAGATACTATTGACGCTCTTGTTGACAAATGTAACGAGAAGAAAGACACTCCTCAACATACAGCTTCTCATTTGTTCACCTGCTTAGTCGATAAAAAAGTTCACTCTCATTAATCAATTTTGTACAAATTCGATTTTGGTCAATAGATTTTTAAACTAATATTGTGTTTTATTCCTTGACTGTGGCGACTGTGGCAAACATAAACTGTAACTTTTTGACGGCGTTATATGCTTGTTCAGTTTTCTGTCTTAAATCCAGAAGTCGAGATTTATTTCTCTACTTGCAATAACAAAAACTAACACTAAATTACAAATAATAAGAATATTATGTTATCAAATGATGAACAAATATTAAAATATTTAATTATAGTAGAGCAAGTTTTTATAACGATTTTCTCCTTTATTATACAGGGCAACTCTAACATATAGAGTGCACCAGAACTCGCGCTCCAGAAAAAATTTTCAAGTAAGGTACAGGGATGGACAGTGAATTTCGTCCACCCAATTTCCCTGACAGATTAAAAGTGTATATTAGTCTTTAAGTTTTCCTAACCTTATTTCAGAATTTTGATTAACGTTTGTCATGTTGACAGAATGCTCGATGCTTCTTGCTACTTTTTACCTTTGTCCTTTGAATTGGTAGTCCTTGGTATGCCCAAAAGTATAGAGACACGTCTTTGAGACATACCTTCTTGTACCTGAATATTTATTTTATTATGTTTGAATTTCATTAAATTTGACAATATGTATTTGAATGTCAGTTATCATGACAATAAAGCACAGACTACAATGAATTTTTGGTAATTCACAGAAATTGGGTGGACGAAATTCACTGTCCATCACTGTACTACCCAGAAGATGTAGAAAAGAACCGTATTCAGGAATTTTTGTGGTGGGCTTTTAATTTATTACAGGCAACAATTTTGCTATTTATATATTAATTTAATATTAAATATATATTTAACACAAATTAAATGAAGTAAATTAACACACCCTATCTACCCAAGCACCAAACATTATGTAAGTGATCATTAAGACCCTTAATTTTAATTACGACACCAATAAGTTTAGAAAAAAATAAAAAAATAGAAAAGTTGGTTTATTAAAATTTAAAATTGTGTAGTATCAAAAAAAAATAAAAATAAAATAAAAAAAAGTTTAATAATTTAAACAAAGTTCTAAATTTTAGTCATCACTTTCACTATCACTATCACTAGAAATGTCGCCATTCAAGTCAATGATTAAATCTTTCACATGATTAGCCCTATAGAAATCTTCAATGTCCACATGTCGCACAGAATTTTTCCAGGATTCCATAGTTGTTATTGCCACCTCCTGTCGAATTTTTAGGAGCATTTCGTTAGTGAATTTGGCACTAGTATTTTCTCTCCGTATTCTGTGTTTCAATTGCCCCCATATCATTTCAATAGGATTAAATGATACGAGGGTAAGCGTAAAACTGCGTGTCCGAATTCTGAAGCAATTGTGTCAATTTTGTATTCCTTTGGAAATACTTTTGTAGCGAGTACCTCAAGCAACTGTTTTTTTGTATAATCTTCTTCGAAGTAAAGATCTTCTTTTATTAAAAAATCTTTAATCGCCTGCTTTTTGCTTCCCGTGTTTGGAACTTTGTTCAGCTGTTCAGAGTGGTAGCTCGCGTTATCCATTACAATGATAGAGTGTGGTGGCAATTTCGGTAACAAAATGTTTTGGAACCAATTTACAAACACTTCTCCGTTCATGTCCGAATGGTAATCCGTACTTGCATCTTTTAAGTTCTTACACCCAAGGTATAAAGCGCCAGGAATAAAACCATTTTCGCCTCCCGCGTGCAGAATCATTATTCTTTTTCCTTTTGATGCCGGAATATTACCTATTTTAAGTTGTCATTAACATTTTAATCTCGATGCAACTGGTAATAACAAAATTTTAGAAAATTTTACTTTCACAAAAATATTTTCTGTTCTAATGTATGAGTGATAATGCAGGTCAGTTTATTTGTGAAGAAAGATTCTCAAAATATAACTAAATATGTATTAAAATTAATTTCAATATTTTTTTGATGAAAGCCCAAAAAAAATTTCTGTTACGGACCATCTCTTCGTACAAACCTTTGAAACGTGCCTGTCCTGAGAAATGCAAATTTGTTTTTGGCATCTCTAACGCAAGCTCCATAAGAACCATCGTGGGGGGTAAGCGGCTTATTCTATAATAAGTCTCAAATATTGTTGGTACCAACTATACCTTATATGGCATTTTTCTCTGGGGCGCAAGTTTTGGCGCAGTCTGTATGCAGGATACTCTGTATAGTGCCTTCAAGATTTCCGGGTCAGGTCAGGTGCCGCGTATTTCAAAATTATGCACCATAATGGATTTACGGAAGTTGATTTTAATGTTGTTCAAGGCCCACAAACAAATTTATGAAAACTTATCTAATATTGTTTTAACAAATTTATTATTATTGTTACTTTTACAGAATTGAAAGATTATTACTTTTTTGTAAATACATAGAATATCGAGAAATTTTTTTAAAATATAAACTACATGAATAGTCCTTGACCTTTGATTTTAACAGTTACAGTCGGTAAACAAAGATAAATTAATTGATATAAAAGATATAAAAGTGTAAATTATTTGCAAAACTTGTGTTTTTTAATAAATTACTTTCTACAGGAAAAATGGAAGGTTTTGTGCACCTCGCCGTTCTTGCTTTTCTAGCTGCCGTTCAAGTAAGTGTATAAACAGTAAAAACTTAAAAACGTGATAATTCAGGCCGAAACCGGGCCACAAGAATTGAGAAGATACAGCGACGAATGCCAGCCAGAGATTTCGGAAGAAATTTTGATCAAAGTGAGGAACCATGAAGACGTTCATGACCCCAAACTAAACGAACATGGATTCTGTATTAAAAAAAAGCCGGATTTATGAGCGAAGCTGGTGATATTATGGCCGACACAATCAAAACTAAATTGAAAGAAAATGGTGAAGATCCAGTTGCTGCTGATGCTCTCATTTAGAAATGTAACAAAAAGAAAGCCACCCCTTATCAGACAACGTCTCATTTGCTTAATTCTTAAGTCGGTTTACGCTTACTAATTATTAATTCTGACAAACTTGATTTTACACAATAAATTTTTTAACCTAATACTTACATTTTTTTCATTTTCAAAAGACTCGGTGAGCACAAACTCGGGATTGACATACAGGTTGGTCCAAAAGTCTGGAAACGATTTTATTCTGACGAAACAATCAATTTTCTTGGCAAATAAATTTATAGGTTTGCAATGGCTATAAAAATGCTATTCAAAAAAAATTCAATAATTATTAATTGTTTATACTTACAAGATAAACATAGTAACCAATATTTTGTTTAATGGAAACCCATCACATTTTTTTTAGACAACGAGGTTCTTACAAGAATTGTTACTGTACACAAATTTTTTTGTAAACCTCACCCTTTTTGGTTAAAAGAATATGAATTTTTTTGAATAAACTACCAGTTTGTTGGAAATAAATTATGAATGTAATGTTTAAAGGTTATAAAGGAGCAATGCCAAAATATTTTATTAATTAATTAATTTTGAGATTAGCATACTAATAATTTTTTTTTAAATAAATACGATTTTTTATTTATTATTGTTTTATTGCATTATTGTTTTTATTGCATTTTATAAATGTACAAAACTTTATATTTATATATTTATGTTTATTTCGTAAGTATAAACAATAATTAATATTCAATTTTTTTTAAATAGCATTTTTATAGCCATTGCACACCTATAAATTTATTTGCCAAAAAAAATTAGTAGTTTCGCCAGAATAAAATCGTTTCCAGACTTTTGGACCATCCTTGTATAGTTATTTCTCTTTGCTATGGAAGGAAATAAAATCCGGTATAATACGGAATACCGGATTTACGTGTGTCATAATTTGCAATAACATAAACGCCAAGAAAATATATTTATTATTAAAAAAATATTTATTATTATTACATAACTAAATGATAAGTTATCGACATATTATCTGCAAAATTAGCAAAATTTTGTTTAAAATGTATTTATCCTTGACTTCATTACATATAAGTTTATTATTCTAGAATAAAAGACAACAATTTATATGTACTAACGACCGTTTTTCAAAATAATTATTTTTTATAAGCTATTAAAGAAACACAAAACTCCAAAATAAAATAAAGTTTTATTTAAATAAAAACAGGTCTTGCTTAGTTTTATAATAATTTGTAAAAAATGTGTGTGTATTTTAAATATTATATAGGGTGTGTCAAATTCGCGCCTCGGAGAAAAATTACAAGTAAGATAAGATACCAAGAAAAAATGTTTAACATCTATTTTTTAGCATTTTTTTTTTGTCTATTAATGATGCTGATGATCTTGTACCTATATGTTTTTTTATAATTATTAAGTAAAGGTACAAAAGTTTTGCCAATAAATGCTACAAATAACATTAAACAGAGTTACAATTTAGGATACAGCTTGTTTGTTTCCTCTTCTAATAGTCTGTAGCAAAACAACATGGAAAATTATTTTTCTAAGAGTATAAATAAACAGAGTCAAAGTGCAAAATTTTAACTCTCATAACTACGAAACTTTTATAAATAAATTTTTTTCCATGTTCCTTTTATCTTACCTTACATGTCATTCTTCTCTGGCGCACTCTGTATATATTTTTAAATAGAAATAAACAAAATTTCATTGATTGATTGATTCAAATATTTTGTCTTGTTAAAATTGAAAAAAGAGATTAATTTGTAAATACATTAATTTTGTTATTTATTTGTATTGTAAACACAATTTGTATGTATTGCCGACAGATAAATCAATATTCTGTTGCAGTTTGAATGAGTAACGTCCTCCTCACACTTTAACTAGAAATTCATCCTACAGAGAGCGCTGCAAACACGTTTGGAAATTAGGTGTGCAACTGTGCTGAAAACTGTTTTAGCACGGTTGAAAACCCAAAGAGTTTAATTTGCAGTTTCCTTTTTTTTGATAACTATGTTCAAATATTAATGTGATTTCTTCCGAGTAAAATCCAATGTCCTGTAAGAGGATTTGAATCCATCCTATCGTAATCCGGACGACAAATCCGGGTAATCTTCCGGGTGTTGGCACAAAGTCAATACATAGGTATTCGTAGAATAATCCCACCTTAGTGATTATACAGAGTGAGTCTTAACCTATAAGCATAAACTTAGGTTTTCTTTATTTAAGTGGGGTTAAATGGTATCTTTTATTGGCATTTGACAAAAATAAAAAATATACTCGTATTAAACATATTTTGAATTTTTGTTCTTCTTATGCGTATGTGTTAAAACTCATACTGTTTACTTTCACTGTATTACAAAATGATAAAATTAGATTTAATTTATTTATAATTTTTAAATAGTTATAGCAAATAATTGTCGTAAATTATTATTAATAGAATTTAATCTGATCAGTGGTCTTATTTGTTACCTGTTCTTGTTCTTTTAAAACTTTATAAAATAAGTAAACTATAAACTATACTTAAATAATGTAAAAAATTATTTTTGTTGATACTTTTCTGTTTATGACTGTCTGTTTCGTTATTATTTTTTGTATTGTTAATAGAAACAATGGAAGAAAATAATGTTACAAAATAACAATCGAAATTTTACTTTCTAAAGATTTCGGAATAAGCAAAAATCCATTTTGTACTTTGAAAAACTTCGTTTTATAAACTTTAGATACAATAGATTAAGTGATAAATAGTCAAAAAGTGTGTCAAACAAAAAAAAATAGTTCTCAAAAAGCTGCCCATGAAATGTTTATTTGCATAAAATACTAACAACGTATTCGTCTTAATCACATATGCTATGTAAGAATTAATAAAATACATATTTTTTTTATTATCAGACTGTGTTATCATTTCGAAATAACCTTCAACTTTTAAGAATTTTAAGACAACACATTTATTTCAGACGTGGTGTCATCAATTTACGTTGGCTAAAAATGAAACTCTTGGTTATTTCTCTCTTAATAAGCCTTGTTTTTGCAAAACAAGTAAGTCAATTTTTCTGAATTTAACATAATTTAATTTTTCATTTAGGATACTTTGGATGAAGAAAGAGAAAAAATGAAAAAATGGACACACGAGTGTATTCAAGAAAGTGGTGTTACAAGTGAAGTTCTTCAACAATTGAGAAGTGAGAAAAAAGTTGATGACCCAAAATTGAAGGAATACACTTTTTGTACATTCAAGAAAAACGGTTTTATGACTGAAGATGGAGAGTTGCAGTACGACATCATCAAATCAACACTGAAGAAAGTCAGTGGGAGCGAAGAAGAAGCCAATAAAGTGATCAATGACTGTGTTGTAAAGAAAAGCACTCCGCAAGAAACGGCCTATGAAACTGTAGATTGCTGGTATCGGTATAAAAGGAATCTTTAATTTTGGAAAGTTGAAATAAAAGGATAACTGTGATTTGTGTTTTTTTGTGAAACTTTGAATTTTTTTATTTTAAAAAGAAGAAAAATTTTAAACACCGCTCTAGACGCAATTACGACTCAGGGTTTTCGTTGATCACAACTGTTTAGAACAGTTTTAAGTACTCTAACATACAGAGTGTCCCAGTGAGTCTAAAAAGTCCATTAGTGACCTTTAAATGGTAAAATTTTAAAAAATTATATAGGATATTGATAGATACTAATCTAGTCCATCGCCAAAAATTATTTTCAACTATACATCGTGTCTCAAAAATAAGTTACAATACAAACTTGTATTTTTTTAAATGAAATACCATATGTTTCTTACCGTTTTTGGATGTAGATTTTTATGACAATGTTTTTAAACTTTTATTCGTCGATTTTGCTTATTTAAAAAATATGACGTTTTTTTGACAAAAACATGCACTTTTTAAAAATGTATTACACAAAAACTAAGACATCTAGAAATATTTTTTATTTTTTTACTACCGCAAAGAAGAAGGTATAAGCTATAAGGTTGTAACATTTTTTTAGTGTATTACATTTGCAAAGATAAAAAAATGAAGGCTTAACTTAAAAAAAAAAAAATAAAACACCCTATTTATTGTTTTTGCATTTAAAAGATTATTAAATTGTCTTTCTAAAATTATTTACTTTTAGTTGTTTATAATCAATAACTAAAAAGATATTTAATGTTAAACATTAAAAAAAAATAATTACTATTGTTTCAGTACCCAAAAAGTGCACAGTTGCTCAAGAGATGGAAGAAATATCACTTAATAATTACATTTGTGTTAAACTGAATCCATTATTCTCTATTTTTACAATAAAATAATTCGAATTTCAGTATTTATAACGACTTTTACAATCTTTGGATAAACACTAAACAATTGCTACAGCTTTAAATTTTGTACTTTCTTCTTTGCAGAAGTAAGAAAAAATTTGTTCTAGCTGTCTGAGTTTTTGTGTAATACATTTTTAAAAAGTGCATGTTTTCTTCAAAAAATACGTTTTATATATTTCTAAAGCTATACGAAATTGACTACTTAAATTTTAGCATAAAAACATTATTTTAAAAGGGTACATTCAAAAACTTCAAGGACCATACGGTATTTCATTTTATAAAAAACACAAGTTTGTATCGTAACTTATTTTTGGGACATGCTGTATAGTTGAAAATATTTTTAGTTGATGCACTGGTTTAGTATCTATAAATGTCGTGTACATTTTTTTTTAAATTTTACTATTTAAAGGTCAACTCGCTGGGACACCCTGTATAATAACAAGATATTTGCAACTAATCATTAAAATCTTGCATGAAATCCTAATTACAGGACTTCTCTTATAACGATTTTGGCTATCAAGTGTTATGTTACAGAGTGCTCGACCCTTGATCGGTGAAAATTTACACTGTGCTAATTGGCTTGCAGTTTTACCGAAATCACATACTATTATTTTTGCACAGTTAGATATTTTTTTTACAAAAAAAAACTTGCTCGGTAAGTTAGTTTGAAAACTTCCTTTTATTTCAATTTTGTGAAATAATTTGTAACAACTTTTGAACACAATGTATTCACGGTTTAATGCATTCTGTTAGTCAGATTTTATGACACATTTTATTATTGTGAATAGCGAAACACATAAACCTCCATTTAAATGAAAACCGTGTTCAACCTTTAAAAAGCACACTTTTAACAAATCGAATTACGAACGTATTTTGACGTAAATGTAGATTAAAATAAATTCATATGAATTCCAATCTTTAATTGAAGCTCGAAACTGAAAATGATTTTTTTAATTTTGAATTAATTTCGAAATGTGGTCCCATCTGTACAAAAGCTGTTTAAGCTTTTCTCGTCGAAACTGGGTCAGATCGAAATGGCTTTCGGGTGAAATATAGAACATTGAGTTGAGACAAATTCTTTTAGATATGTGGCGAAATGAAAACTTTATTTTTTGCAATTAAAACTCACAGTTGCACTTCACTTGCATTTTTCTAATTTCAAATTAAATTATGTGGGAGTGCTTTTTCGGAATTTATCTACTATTATGCCTTGGAAAGTGGGTCAGACTGTTATTGCGAATCTCGGCACCTCAAAATATAATCAATCTTGATCATGATTGGTAAGTTCTTTGAGAGGCGATAAAAGTGTCAAAATGAAGGCAATTTACTCACCAGGGATTTCTCCAAAAACATTTTTCATAATTAATTAACATAATTAAAAATGGCTAAAAATAGCAGCGTTCGCATGTTTAAATGCGCTTCAGAGGGATGATTGGTCGCCCTTTTAGGCTAGGTTGAACCTACTTACGATTAAATTTACATTTACACCAGTTGGTAAACATCCCTGAAGTCATTTTTAACGCGTTACAGTAAAACATTGTTAGAAAGCAAAGCTTACTAAAAAAATTAAAAAAAATGTTTCTACGTAATCTAAACGAGACGAAAACTAATCAATGATGGGTAAAAATTTCAGATGCAGATGTTTGACCGCAAATGTTACAAATTTAAGTCAAAAATAAAAACAACAAATCTAATCAAAAAATGTTTAATGAATGAATTAACTTTTTTTCGTCTGCCATATAAAAAAATTGCTTCATTTACAAAAATGTTAAAATTCGGAAAATGATGCAAATTCTGTCAAAAAAATTTCAGTGATTTGTTAATCAGTTAAATTTCGTTTTTGCTAATAAATTAAAGCAAGATTTAAATACACTAAATTTAAATAAACACTAGAATCTAAAAAATTAAATAAAACAAACTTGAATTATTTTTTTAGAAAAAGAGAGTTGATAAGTGCAACGTTGCAATTGTGAAAAAAGCTGTAGCTTTTGTTTTAAAAACAACATGAGGCAAATAAAAGCAAAAATAAAGAAATTTACTGTTAGATAACAAAAAAAGGCACAAAACACTTTTTTTAATTTTTAAGCTTTTATTTACCACCCCCTTACTAATTATATTCTAATTATAAAAAATTAGATATTCTCTTTAAATAAATTGTTCAATTTTTATATTTTTTGCTTGTTCGGTTTGTTTCTGAATTTTTGGCATACTTAATTAATCATAATTTAACATCAAGATTTTGCGTTTGTTTTATTATACAAATATTCTAGGAAATATTATGTTGTTATGTTGACAAATGCAGATGTTTGACTACAAATATTGCAAATTTGATACAAAACAAAAAACAACAAATCATTTTTTGTCTGCCATATAGAAAAATTGCTTCATATACAGATATGTTAAGATTCGAAAAATGATGCAAATTCAGTCAAAAATTTTCAGTGATTTATTAATCAGTTAAACTCATTTGCTAATAAATTAAAGCAAGATTTAAATACGTAGGCAAATGGCAACATTAGAATCTAAAAAAGTAATTGAATTATTTTTTTTAGAAAAGAGACAAGTTGATAAGTGCAACGTTGCCATTGTGAAAAAAGTTGTAGCTTTTGTTTTAAAAACACCATGAAACAAATAAAAGCAAAAATAATGAAATTTACTGTTGGAAAATAAAAAAGGCACAAAACACTTTTTTTTTAATTTTTAAGCTTTTATTTACCCCACAAAACACATCTTACTAATTATACTAAAATTATGAAAAATAGATATTCTCTTTAAATGGATTGCTCAATTTTTATATTTTTTGCTTGTACGGTTTGTTTTTGAATTTTTAGCTTACATCATTACTTATAATTTAACATCAAGATTTTGCGTATTTATTTTTATACAAATAGTGTAGGAAGTAATATGGTTATGTTGTCAAATGCAGATGTTTGACTGCAAATATTTGCTGCAAAAATTTGCAAAAACTGCAAATTTGATACAAAAATAAAAAACTACAAATATAAAAAATTGTTATTTATTGTAAGAGTGTGTTAGATAGCGTTTTATCCACGCAAGAATGTTTAACCGCGAGAACGTCAGTTCGAGCGGTTAATTTTCTTAAGTGAATAAAACACGACTGCAATATAACGTTTTATCCACAATCACAGGCCCAAATTAAACCAAACTTAATTAACAATTAAACTGACATTTAAACGTCACGCCAAATGTGCTTTCGGTTAGTAAGCTGTTACGCGGTGCGCTGGTTACTAACAGTGGAATAAAGTTACTTTATTCCACTAGTCTAAAGTCTCTTTATATTGTGTTTGTGGATAAAAAATGTTTAATGAATGAATTAACATTTTTTCGTCTGCCACATAGAAAAATTGCTTCATTTACAAAAATGTTAAAATTTGTAAAATGATGCAAATTCAGAAAAAAATTTCAGTAATTTATGAAGTAGTTTTTGCTTGTAAATCCAAAAATTAAATAAAAGAAACTTTTTTTTTTGATAAAGAGACAAGTTGGTAAGTGCAACGTTGGCAATTGTAAAAAAATCTGTAGCTTTTAAAAAAAAAACACCATGAAACAAATAAAAGCAAAATTAATAAAATTTACTGTTAGAACAAAAAGAAGACACAAAACACTTTTTAATTTTTAAGGTTTCATTTACCCCACAAAACACGTCTTACTAATTATAATGAAATTATAAAAAATAGCTATTCTCTTTAAATAGATTGTTCAAGTTAAAATCAAGATTTTGCTTCTGTATTTTTATACAAATATTCTAGGAAATATTATGTTGTTAAATAGTATAAAAATAGGCTACATAACGATATTTTTTATTAATTGCTTTTTCTACATAGTAAGGTTAGTTATCAATTTAGTGTATAATATAAGTATATTTCACAATTTTGGCTTTGAAGCAGACAAAACTTGACTCAATTAGCATAGAGCTCTGAAAAATTGGTCTGATTTTTATAAAACATTTTTTGTAAGTTTGTATAATTAAAACTGCGACAAGTTTAGATTCTGGTTAATTTCTGGCTAAAATTTGAAGCCTCCTAATTACCTCTGTGGTTTCTTGACGAGGTATCGCGGAATAAGTAATGACTTGCTAATTACCTAAGAGTGTTGTTACTCCACGTCTCTAAGCTCGCACTGCGAATGTCTAA